CCCCAAAACCCCAAAACCCCAAAACCCCAAAACCCCAACGAACAAATTTAGGGTTGAAATAACAGCCGTGGTACCTAATAATTTCGTCATTATTGGTTGTTCAAGTATATCCTCGCAGGCCGAAACGATGAATTGCAACCGGATCTTAGGAATTCAGAGAGATCATTTGAGTTATCTACAATTCATTAGGTATATACATACTGGAAAGCCCGAGGTTAGACACTCTATTCGTCAAGAAGTTCCTATTTCGATTCTTACTAATAGAGCGTATAAAGGGGCTTTGAAAATTTCTTGAAGTAGTTTTTCTCAGATCTCGTTCACCACTAGCAAGCTCTAGCTCACTTTCTCTTAACCGATCGTGTCTTTGTAGATATTTCTTGGAATATTTAACAATAGATGATTTCGAAAGCATCCTGATCATCTGAAAATCCTTCTTATAATGAGAGTCAGCCGAATATTGGACTGAAGAATAATGAGCTAAAAGTTATAAAAAATATACAAATATGCTTATTCCTCTTATGATTTCCATTATTCTCCCGATTATTCTGCCCTCTCAGATTTTTGCTCTCGTCTTGGTCCCGATTTTGGCTCTTAAGTATAGGATTTTCATAGATTCTTACAGACCTATTCACATGATCTTGAACTGAGAAGGTGGATTTGGCATTCCTCCGGCCTCTAACTGGCAGCTTTTTAAGCTTCTCCCTAAAAGTAAGTAAACTCAGCCCAAACTTCTTATTCTTCAGGACTAATTTATTCTTGTTATTGGTAAAACTTAGGTGATCCTTAGCTCATCTAGGTGGGTTGACCAGATTTTCAGGCACTTTATACACCTTCTTCACTGGAGCAATTAAGAGTTCATTCCACTTCAGTGGCTGTAGATTTTTTGAAGCTTCTGGGTACCTGGACCTCATCGGCTCTCTAAGTGAACTACACAGTTATAACCAAAAGGTTACTCTTGAAAGCTCTTGTCAGAAGGAGCAAGCAGATTGCCTTTCTTGATAACTGACAGGACAGATTGCCTCCTGTTTACTTTACCCTTAGTAAACTTAAACTCCTTGTTCTTAGAATGTCTTCTGGTGTGCACTATAGACTTTCGCCTCGGCACTTCAAATAGGGGCTGAGGATTCAGAAAGTTCTCGTTCCTAAAATTAGGCATTGATCGTTACTGGAGTAGGCTAATATTGAGCCAAGGAACTGAGGTCTCACTTTCCTGGTATGCACTCTTAGTTTCTTCGGTAATCATTTTGATTTTCTAAAATTTATCAGAAATCTTACATTTTCTTGTTCTTTCCAAGATTTTTCAAGTTTTTGGATTAATTGACTCTCCTGTTCGGAGTTAATCAGAATTTTCTAAGGATTCAAGGAAGAAACTTACGTTCTTTGTAGTATAGCGGGGCCTCTGTTGCCTCCTTTTCTTTGGCTTGGTAATTATTTTATCAGATGCCTTCTCAATGGTCTTCTCAGTAGTGTTTCTTTCTGTGGTATTCCTGTCAAAGCTTTTCTTTCCACTAGTTTTTCTCTCAGCAAACCTGCTTAATGGCTTAGTTAGGGTATTTTTTGTCCTAGATTTTGAACTAAAGATATACTTAAAACTGCCGTTTCTGCTAGGCTTCCTTACAGAACCTCTTCTTGGACAAAATCTGCTACGACCTTTACAAGGTGGAGACAATGACATCTAAAAATAAATTAAAACCACACACATTTTTGATTAAATCCTTATTTCTCATAAGAAACCTCGCACTAGTGCCTTTCCGGATCATAGACCTGCTCTTCTTCGGCTCTAAATCTCATCACCCAAGTCCCAAATGTCCCAAAACACCCTAAAAATTCCAAATCCACACTTGACTCTCTACCTGGATCTACTCTCGCCACTTCCTTCTCCTCCCTACCCCGTTCCCTCACTGGCGTCTCTTGCTTCTCTTTACACCCAAAAATCTCCTTATAAATCGCTATATTCTCAGTCAGCCGCTGTAATTTCCAGTAAAAATCAGTCTTAAATCCTCGTTTTAGTCGAATCTTTATAGCATTCTGTACGTTCTTATCCTTATTTGTCGAACTCAACCTTGAACTTGGAGTAGTCGATCTTGTGGGATTCTAGGAATTTATTTGAACGTGTAGCTATAAAATGGGTTTTCACAGCTGGAATTTTGGTCGTTAAGAATTTTAAAAGAACAATTTAGCTGGAAAGAGCAGTTTTGAAGTACTTTTTGGGGTTATTTGGGTTGAAAAGAGACATCGAAGCAACTTTTAGCGGGCTAGTTGTGGTCCTAGAGGGGTTATGGGAGGGTACTTTCGGAGCTTTAGAGAGGAATTTGGGATATCTGGGGTCTATAGGTGAGGAAAAGGAGTACTTCTCTATTTTTCAAGTGGTGGAGATTTGAGAACTCTTTCGTACTCTGGACTTCTATAGATCAAGGTAACCAAATTTTTTAGGGTTTAAGGGGGTTAGGAATGGAGTTTGAGGTGGCTAACATACTCTTTCCTCATAGTACCATGCTTAAATAGATACATTTTTTGTCTTATCTCTTCAGATGAGACTATGTTTTCGATGTTCATTTCTTTGAAAATATATTTATTTAAAGTTATCAATAAAATTGAAAATTAGGGGTTTTGGGGTTTTGGGGTTTTGGGGTTTTGGGG